CAGTTCAGCGTGGAGAAGGTGCCGGAGGCCTTCGGAGCACAGCACCTCCGCCTTTATGGCGGCGCGGGCCGCGGGCCCCGGCACCTGAGCACCAACAGCAAAGCGGAGGTCACCGTGTGAGGCAGGGTCCCGATGCCCTCCGGGGCCCTCACTGGACTGGAGGCCTTGGGGCCTGCAGGGTGGGGAGGGGGTCAGTGGTCCCATCCCTGGGCTGCACAATTCTCCATCCCCGTGTAAATAAACCCTTCGATGTGGTTTCTGCCCCGAGGCACTGGTGGCAGCACCGTCACTGACTGGGCAGACGGCAGTGCAGGCAGAGGGCACAGCATGGGCAAGAGCAGAGGATCGTTGCTGAGGTGTGCCTGGGCCAGGGCTGAGCGCCAGAATTAATGCCCTCACCTGTAGGAGCTGTGGGAGGCAGTTACACCTCAGCCATTGTAAGGTCCGGCCCCTGGGAGGGCTTTTGGGTCCCAGGTCATCTGGAAAATGAGGGTGACCGGAGTCTGTACGAGGTGAGCACCCAGCTGGTCACCCACTCTGCAGCTCGCGGGCCTAGCCTGACTGATCTTCACTGACACAGTCTGGCCCTGGGCCGGCCCCTGGCCAGAAGGCTCCTCTGCCAGATTGGCCCAGGGCCACCCCCCTAATGGCTGTGGGCTGTGGGGACATCTGGTGCTCAGAAGTGCCCCTCCCTGGAGCTGCTCTGGGGTAGGGGAGGGGAGGGAGACACTGGAGCAGGGGCCCTCCGGGCACCCTCCCTCCAGGTGCTTACACCCTACCTGCTGCTCTTCACGGCCAGCCCTCCTGACTCCTGCCAGGGCTCCTGGTGCCAGGCTGTGGCCCAGGATGGTGCCAGCAGCTCGTGTGCCTCTTTCCCAACGTTCCCGTGCTGGGTGCAGTTGAGGACAATGACAACTGAGCTGCAACCAGTTGAGGTGTGTGACCTCAACAAAGCCACCAGTTGGTGTCTCCTACTGTGGAGCCAGGAGTCACCGTGCATGGCTGATTCTCACGCAACCCTCAGAAGAGCCCCATAGGAGCATCTTCACAAAGTAACTTGCTCAGGGTTACCCAGCTGGCTCCTGGGGTAGGGCCCGCTTGTAACTGACGGTGGAATGGGAGTGGAGGGGAGGGCTGCTCCCAGGGAATGGGTGGCCTGGCACGTGCACCTTCCTCCTCTGGCTGGACTGCCCAGAGTCCCCAATCCACCGAGTCTGAGTTTCTCACCAGGGACCATCTCCCTGTTCCTTAGGGTTGCTGAAGAAACTAAGGCCTAGAAGCTGCAGGACAGATCCCAGATCCCATGGTCCTGCCGAATGGAGGGCTTTCACGGCTTGTAGGAGAGCTCATACTGACACCCAGGGTAGTGTGGGGACCAGTCCGAGTCCTGCACCTGTGAGAAGAGCTGGGGGTGGGGCGCCGGTGCGAAAGGATGACTCACGAAGGGGAAGGCCCCACTGCTCACCCTCCGGCCTAAAGGTCCTGCATCTCCAGATGATGGTGGCCAGGCAGAGGGTCTGGGTGGTGGCCACCACCAAAAATGCTCACCTTGTGGCAGTGGACGGGACCTGTACAGTGGACCCCTCTGCTCCTTGGTATAGCTTGGCCTGCTGCAGCTGCCCATAGGAAGGGACCAGCTCAGTGTGGTCTCTCAGGGAGGTGAGCAGGGCCACTAGCTGTGCAGCCTGTCCAAGGCTTGCTCCCACATGGGGTCCCCAAGTCCACCTCGGCCAGGCTCAGCACACCATCTAGCAGGCTCCTGTGGTCTTGAATGGCCTCTTACCAGTGTCACCAGTCGCTTGTACTTCATGTGTGGTGTGACCAACTCTGCCTGTGAGCCTGTGGGACTGGTAGTCTCGTGTACCTGTGAAGTGCAGGCTGAAACCAGGGAGTGGCTTGGAGAGCCACTACTTCCAGGGAAAGGGAAACTAATAGATAGGTCCACCCAGCTCCCAAACAACTCTATGTCCAGGGAATGCACTGGAACCCGGATGCAGTGGCTTTGGACCCCAGTAGTACTGCCAACAACTCTTATGCTAGGCCATCACCTGTCCTTGGGAGTGTGCACCAGGTATGGGGAGCAGGGTTCTGGGCATACAGGGGGTGGTGCGTGGCAAGGGAGGCCTTGCAGACTGAAGGTACCCAGCTGCCCTGAGTCTGCTCACTGCTAGCCAAGTCATACAGCTCCCTTGGCCTAGGCACCACCGCAGTCACACGACAGACCTTCACACACCTAGTGCTGGGTGGTACCAATCTGTGTTTATTGAATAACCAACATCTAGGACATGGTGAATGATTCAACATCAAGGAAACCATAGGAGTATCCCCCTTTTCAGTGAAAAACCACCCCCCAAAAAACAGTAAGGAGAAAAGGCACAGTATATACAAGTGACACAAAGGCTGGCTGCCCTATTGGGCAGGGTGCATAAATTACAGTGACGGGGAAAGGACAAGAGATTGAGAACAGGTGATGTCCAAGCAGACCAAGGGTGCACTGCTGAGTACACCCCTAATCTCTGCTGGGGCTCCTGCCCACCTCCTTCCCCCAGCAGCTCCACAAGGTAAGAAGTCCCCCTCAGGAGCCCCAGGGGAAGTCACCAGGGAGGCAATGAGCCAGAGGATCCAGTTCTTCTGGGACTCCACCAAGGTGAGAGACCTTGTTCCTGGTACCCAGCCTGAAGAGGCATATAACTGGGGAGGGACTAAGGCAGGTTCCATTACCTTGGCTCATTTTTAGGACAAGAATTAGAAATAAAATTATACTATGGAGGTAGGAGTTAGGGAGGGGTAGGAGGGAACAAAAACCCATGGAGACCCCTGGTCCCCAGGCCCAACAGGTGGCTTCATCCCTCCCAGCCCCTGGGCCTGCCCTGAGCTTGGGATGACGTCCCAGGGGGCGGGGGAGTGGGAAGAACAGGACAATTAAATAAGATACTGTTTATTTTTTTAAAAATTAAAAAATAATGCCAACATTATTTTCCCATCCCCAGGCCTGCCCCTGCTTCCCAGTGCCTCTCCCAGGGCTGGGTCCCTTCCTTCCCTGGCTGTCCCATGGAATGAAGAGAAGACAATGGACTGGCTTAGTCAGGCACGGGGAGGGAACGCAGACCTGTGGAGAGGAATAAGGGTGCACAGCAACTTCACCCTGCGTCACATCACAGCAGACCCAAGCACACAGATATAAAAACATTCATATAAAAGGTGGAGGGGGGATGCTGGGCACCATCCCAAGGGTCCAGGGCTCTTAGGTGCCCAGAGACCTAGGCCCCCCAGAGACAAAGCCTGATAAAAAATGAGGAAGCAGAGAGGGGAGATGTGTAGTTTCCAAGGGCTGGAGCAGGGGCTTGGCAGGGGTTCTCGGGGAGGAAACCACTCCATCTCCACCTGCAGTCTTCCCTCTGTGTGCACCAGGGTGAGGACCAAGGGCATCTACGGACTGCAGCTTTGGGGCAGCTTCTGCCCAGGCCCTCGGGGCTGCAGTGGTCCCAAAGCCTTGCAGCTAGTAGCTCAGAAGACAAGGCCCATCCCCATAGCTCTCAGAGGGAGGAGAACAGACACGGGGAGGAGGGGACAGTCTGAGACAGGGGAGAGCTGCGAGAGACACGGAGACAAAGGCAGAGGGTGGTGAGCCGCACCTGGCGGTCAGGAGGCAGCAATGGCAGTGCCCCCACCCAGCTTGACGATCATCTGCTGGCAGTCGTTGCAGGAGCGCCGGTCGCCCACCTTCTCCAGGGTTCGGGCAGCCTCGGCCAACAGCACCGCCCGTTGGCCCGGGGAGGAGAGGAAGGAGAGGGGAAGGTGGCGACACGCCAGCAGGATGGCAGTGGCCCGCTCACGCTGGCCAGGCCAGGCGTCCACCTCTCCTGTGGGAAAGATGAGACAGGTGTAGGTTCTGTTCCCACAGCCTCTGCCTCAGGCAGACGCGGTCACTGAACCCGCACAGGCTACCCGCAAGGCAGGCTCTGTTACCCTCCCTACTTCACACCGCGGTCAGTGTGGGAGGAGCAGGGAAGAGTGGGGCTGAGCTGGAACCCTTGAGGTCTCTGCCCTGCTCCTGGACGGGGACCCCGTGCCCAGCCCTCCTGCCTGTGCCGGGCTGGACTCACCACTCCGCTAGCTAGCGCCCAGCCCCGCAGCATCGCGCTGAGCTTGGGGCTCCTCTCCCACCCACACCACCCTGCAGCCCTGCAGCGCCCCCTCCAGAGGCAGCAGCTGAGCTGGCTGAGCCAAGGGAGCCTCTCCCTGGTCCCGACGGGAGTGGCTGGACCCACCGTGCTTGGTGTTCTCGGTGGTGCGGCGCCGCAGGCTGTGCTCCAGCAGCTGGTGTGTGCGAGTGGGGCTGGCTCCTGCCATCAAGCGCACAGTGGCTTCATGCAGGAACACCTGGCGAGGCACAGGGGACACAGTCAAGCCCTAAATGTGTTCCTCTCCCCGAGTCACCTCACCGACCACCTGATGATGGCACCTCTCCTCCCTAAGCTACCCTGCCTTGCTTACCCCTTGAAAGCAACCTCTCCTGTCCCGAGCCGAGATACAGACCTGGATGAGTGGCGGGAAAGGGAGCAAGGACAGGCCAGCGGACAGGGGCAGGGGCAAGGGGCAGACAGGGCTGCCTTCCTGCGGCATCCTGTGGGACTGAAGACTACCTCAAGTGAGACCTCAAGTTCCTCAAGGCTGCTTCCAGCCTGGAAGGGACAGAGGGGTGAGGGGGATGATTGGCTGGCACCAAAAGCAATAGAAAGGAATAGAGCCCAGAGGTTTCCAGATTCACGTCAGCAGCTCTGAGGTAAATAGGAATCACCAGGTCTCTACTTTCTTAAAATACTAAACTTTTTTGTTTTGTTGGGGTTTTTTTTGGTTTGTTTGTTTTACGGTACCAAGGATTGAACTTGTACTTGCCAAGCAGGCGCAGCACCGAGCCACATCCCCAGCCGTGTTTTTTTCAGTACTGGGGATCAAACTGTGTGCTTGTGAGGCAGATGCAGTGCCACTGAGCTAAATTCCCAGCCCCAAACTACTAAACTTTTGAGCTGAGTGTGGTGCCACACACCTGTGATGTCAGCACTTTGGGAGGCTGAGGCAGGAGGATTGCAGGTTATAGGCCAGCCTGGATAGCTTAAGGCCTTGTCTCAAAATAAAGAAATACAAAACATGCTGGGGTGTAGCTCAGTGCCAAGATCCTGGGTTAAATCCTCAGCACTACAAAACCCGCAGTTCTTCCTATCTCTGCCCTCAGTGCTGCTGGGAAGCAATGGGGAACCCCCCCAGCAGGGAGAGGCAGGGTGGAGAGGATATTGTTAGAGGCAGCTCTGATGCCAGCCATGCTAAGAGCAGACCAGAGAGCAGGCCACAGTGGTCCAGTGAGGGCTGTTCTGTGTGCTGGTATTTTGAGTGCTGTGTCAATCTCGGCTGGGTGCACGTGGCCAGGGTGACCCTGTGAGGGTGTCCCAGAACCTCAGGGCAAAGGGTGTGGCGCCATGGCAGTAGCCTCATCCTAAGACCCCCTTTTTGTGCCCTTGCAATGTAACCTAAGCTCCTCCCACACTCCAATTTTTAGAAAACAATTCAGGTAAAATATGTTGATCCTAACACAATGATAAATGAGGGGAGAAGTATGCTAGACCTGATTACTACATACTATACACATGTACTGAGATGTCACACTACACCTGTGTGTCAAGGAAAACTAAAAACTTATTTTAAAAATGTTTAATATAAGGCAGGTGCAAATAGCACACACTTGTAGTCCCAGATACTTAGGAGGCTGAGGTAGGAGGATTGCTTAAGGCCAGGGATTTGGTACCAGCCTAGGAAACACAGGGAGAGCCCATCTCAAAAAACAAACAACAAAATGTCTAATCCATCACTAATACATTTAATTAGCAATAAAAATAAAGAGAGAAATGGTTTCAGTCCAGCAAGTTACATAACTATGCTCTGAGACAGCTCGGTCTGCAGCCAGCACCAAGGGGAAGTTGTGTGGAGAAAGGCAGCAGGATTGAAGCCCCCAGTGGCTCAGAAAAAGGGTTAAGGTGGATCCCTTTTCTGTGTGGTTCTAGGGAGTCCATCACTGACAACCAGTTATGAAGTCAGAGCAGCTCCCTACCCACCCTGCACCCCGAGCCCTCCCACCAAATCTGACCAGTGCAGTTTGGCTATGGGTGGCTGCTCCCTGCTGTGCTTGAGCCAGGCACCCAGTAAGTACTCTGCCATGGGTGCTGAACAAAGGAACGCATGGTACCCAGCCCAAAGCTGGGCCTCGGCAGATGACCTCAGAGGGCCAACTCCAGTCACAAGTGTTTGTCCCGCCAGCCCACTGGGCCTCACCTTGCGGTATGCTGGGCGGAAGCTGTGTGCCAGCCTGCGCAGGCTGCCCAGGTCTCGCTGGAAGCCAGCCAGCTCAGTGCCTGATGCACGGTAGGTCTCGCCCAGGGCCTGACTGGCACCTGCTTGCTTTTGCCAGAGTGCTGTCCGCAGTGACAGCAGTAGGTCACAGGTGAGCAGCTGGACCACCTGTTGGGGGTGAGAGGGAGGAGACAGGTGACTGGTCTGTGGCTAAGCCAGGGACCCAGGCCCTCCTCAGCTCAACCCGATATTCGACAGCCAGAGGGAAGTGGAGTCCAGAGCCTGGGAGGGACAGGAGAGCTTGTGGGAGCACCAGTCCCTTCCAAGACCCCAGGTCCTGCAGGTGAGAACGCTGAGGCTCTGAAAGGGCAGCAGCTTGGTCAGGGGATTCGCACAGGCTGGGGGCAGGGGCAGGACTAAAACCCTGTGGGTCTGAGGGCACCAGCTCTCAACCTCATGGAAGTCTATCACTGGCCTGAAGGCTGAGGTCATCAGGCACCCAGGGGAAGTGGCAGCAGAATCTGGAAACTGGCAATGGTGGGAGGAACAGGAGGAGGAGACGGGTGTGCACGAAGGCAGAGCTACGCAGTGTTTCATGCTTGGGTGTCTGACTGACCTGACTCAATCGTGGTTGTTCACTTTCTGGCTACTTGACCCTAGCATGTGACTTAGCCTCTGAACCTCAGTCTCCCTATCTGCAAAGTGGGAACAGTGGCACAGGGTTGCTGTGAGCGTCCTGAGGCTGCACCGCATGTAGGCACAGTGCGGACTACAAAGACTCCAAGTGCCATTGAGACTGGCAACACGTGGAGCAGCGAGGAGACAGCACGTCCTTGGGATGGGCCATGAGCTGTCCTCAAGTTCACAGGACTCTCACGCTCCTTTGTACCTCTCCCAGCCCTGGCCTTGTTTCCCCAAGGTGACCCAGGGAGGTCACTGTGCCACCCAGACCCTGTCTTTTCCCTTGCTCTGTGCCTGCTCAAGGCCCTGACCCTGGACCACTCGTGGGGACATGGAAAAGAACGCTTCTTGAAGAGAAGCTGGCATTTAAAGGTGTGGGCACTCGAGGAGCACCTGGGCCTAGGGGCAGCAGACTGGGCTGCATTTGGTCTCTTCTAGGACCTGTTCTCCTACCTCAGAGCTGCTCCCCAGGAGCCCCAGCCCCAAAAGTGGCCTCAGCCTCTCTTCTCATTCCTCAACTCACCTAAGACTGGTTTGTTCTCTGAAGGAGACCACAGGAAGCCCCACAGTGGCCCCCGACCCTGCCTTTAACCTGCTGTCCTGGTTTCACCCCAGGGCCCACATCCACCGACAACCTGAAGCTTACAGTGCCAGCCCAGTCTTTCAGGACCAAACCTCAGACAACAGCCCTAAGCCTGACTCCCCCAGGACGTTTCTCATTGTTCCTGCTCTTCCTGCTGCCGCGCTATGTCCCTTTCTCCCAAGACTGCCACCCCACCCTGTGGCAGTGCCCAAGTGCTGGGCCATGGATCACAGCATTATGAGTGGCCTCTCGAGGGCCGGGCAGGCCTCTGTGATGCACTGTGGAAACATTGCACGGTATTGCCAGAACATGCAATGCAACTACAATGCACCGCAGCTGCCCGCCAGGTGTGCACAGGCCATGGTAAGGTGTGTGTGTGAGGGCAGGGCCACCTGGAGGCCGGCAGGAGAGTGTGAGAGCCGGCGGGCTATGTTAGCAACTGTGCAGCTCTGGCCAGCCGTGGATCACTGGGGGCCAGCAGGAGCCCTGACTTGAGAGGTGAGGACAGGCACTGACACAAATGTTTTCAGTCCCCAGGGACCAAAGAGAGTGTCCAGCTACGTAAGTGGGACACATTTTGGGAGGAGGCTGCCCACATGCTGGCTAAGCTCGGGGAGGCAGGAGTATTCTCAGAGATCAGAGGACAGCACCACCGAGGGGCCACTGAGCCAGATCCTACTCACATGGTTGAGGGCTGGGTCAGAGGTGGCCTCACTGACATTGAGGCTGCTCCACAGATGGCCACTGGCCTTCTCACAATGACAGAAGGAATTCTGCTGTCCATCTGCTTTTGAAGAGAGCGAAGCACGCATAGCTTTGCAGGCATGAAAGACAGCCTTCACCAGGGAGCTCCTGTGGCAGTGACAGGGAGGGGAGAGGCAGGTCACAGTGTTACCGTGGTCACAGTCAGAGAAGCCTAAGCAGGTGCCCACCATACCCTACACTGCTGTGACACGTGGGTCTGGCACTACAACTCTGCCATCGTGGTTCCCAGTTGCCAACTCCAGATCTAGAAGGCCGCCTGGGGCAAGGTCAGCCCAGCCTCCATCTTTCATTTGATGTTGGGACCAGAGACCCAGGCTTGAATTCAAACAGTCTGTGCTTCAGTTTCGTTACCTATACAGGAACTATAATACCAACTGCTGCTACCTATGATGACAAAGGTGCTGGGCTCATTATTATACCCACTTCAGAAAACTGGTATTAATGTCTCTAGAAAATCAGAGGGTTGGGGAGAGGATGGGGAGTGGACTGGTCCCTGTAGTAGCACTGTCCAGAAAAGCAAAGGGAGCCAGAGGTAACGGAATTCAGGGGGCAGGGATGCCCGCTGAGGCATCAGCTTAGGAGTGAAGGGACTTCAGCAACGGCCTGCTTGGCCCCACTTTCCTCAGGGGAGCTGTGGCATGCCAACACTGGGCTGCTGGTGCAGGGTCGGGGACTTCCAAGGGGACCCCTCAAACAGAACTGGGGCATTAGACCCACTATAGGGAACACAGGACTCAAACCCACTTGCCCCCGTTTCCTCAGCTCTCTCCCACACTCCCAGATGCCACTATGCTCAGAGGGAAAAGTGCCAGCCGTGGCACTCGGAACAGGACCCCATGGGGCCTTTCTGCCTCACAGCACTTTACAATTCATCTCAGGAGCACTCAGATCTAATCAGAGGCTGCCCATCACTAAGGACCACATGCCACCAAGACACAGACACTAGTCTCGAAAAGGAACGTCAGAAGTGCTTTGCTCAGGCCTTGTGCCACAGCCCTTTATTACAGGTGAAGGCTGACAGGGCTGAGGCGCTGAACCAAGACACAGTGGGCGCCACCACACTATACGCCTGTCTCCTGGAAGCTGTGGGGAGGAGGCCCCCGAAGCAGCGCTGACAGTTGCTGGGACAACTGTAGAGTTGTGCAGAGGACAGCATTTCCACACCTCTCTCTAGTGCCCTCTCCCCTCCTACATACAGTCCCCCATCTATCATACAGTTCTAGCCGCGCACCCCAACAGAGCCACCCAGACCTGTTCCCGCCCACCAACCACACGAGTCCCCTGGAGAGAAGCAGGTGAGTGGCCCGGGAGGCTTACGTACTCGGTCACTTCCAGTGCCTTGGGGACACGCTCCACTTCAGTAAAGCAAGAGCGCACAGCTGCATCATCTCCCTGGAGCCAGCTGATGGCCAATGTGACCGCAGATGTCCACCAGCGACAGATGATGTCTGGACCTAGAGGGAATGGCAGCTAACATTCCAGCACCCATGGGAACTTGCTCGGTGGACCAGTGGCTCTCCACCCACTGCGCCACGCCGCATGGCATCTCTACCTCCTGGCAGTGGGCAGGGGGCCCTGGGTCACCCTCCCGCATGGTTCTGATGTAACGACCTGCAGTCTTTTTGGAAAAGGTCTAGCAACATGTCTTAATTCTATTATCCTATTTGGGGTAATCTATCACACTAAAATTGGTCTAAATAGACAAGTTTAACAAAAATGTTCACTGTAAGAGTTAGACACGATTTACATTTCCAATAGCCACGAAGATTAGTGTCATCAAAAGAATGATTAACACAAGACTCATTTTAGAGTAGTCTAAATTCTCCTGAGTCTGTTTTTTCAACTGCAAAATTCTGATACCAGAGATCTCACAAAGCCAGTGGGGACGGTGACCCAAGAGCAAAGGCTGGAGAACACATACTCTTCCACTTTAAAGTAAGGGAGGCCATGAAGTCATACTGCTTTGCTGGGATCCTTCCCTCCCTAGCGAGATGGGGCAGAGGACAGCTTGGCACCCTCATTCCCTGAGTAGCCCAGAAGCCCAAGAAAGAATGGCTGATGTGCTGCTACTCCCTTGGCAGTGTACGGAGAGAAGCACAGAGTCATCACACTGACTCAGTCAGCAGGGTATGCAATGACACTTGTAGTGATGGGGAGCCAGACAGACGCCCAAACGGAAATCATAAGCAGGGAAAATGAGACCAGACTTGGGCCACTGTGCACCTGGAAAGTGAGTCTCCATCAGCCCCTCCCTGGGCATCTAGAAAGGGTCCTGACCTGGCTCACCCAGCCAGGGAATGTGGACAATCGCTCAGCCCTGCCCATCCCGCTTGGATGAGGACCAAGGATTCTCCTGACCCAGAATGCTACCCAGGAAGGGTAACTGGGTTGAGATGACGTGGGGACCACAGGCACACATGTGGAATGCTTGAGTACACACTTGTAACTAATCCTAGATCCAGGTTAGACGAGAGGCTGGACAGGACTCCGTTAGCAGACAGCGCCCCCCAATGCCCAGATGCTCACCAAGGGCTGACTTGAGCACTGAGCTGCTGCAGAAGGGTGGAGCTGCAAACCCCACAGAGTCCACAAAAGAATGAAGTAATTTCAGGTACTCCAAAGCGCTGGAGAATTCACTAGAAAGAGAAGAAAAGATCCTACGTACAAAACACAGACGAATACATTCAAGGCCCAGCTGCTCAGCTCTCTAGCTGTGAGACCCAAAGGCCTACTCTCCCCACCACCCTGCCTAGGTGTGTAGAGCTCACAACTTCACAAAGAAGTTCCCTAACTCCCAGGTAGAACTGGCCTCTACAGACCTCCCTCCTTAGGTACCTGGGCCCTGCACAAGGGTGACTCTGGCACTTCCCTGCCTCCCAGGTTATTCTATGAAGGAAAGTCTATGCCTACTACCATCATGTAAGAGTTAAAACTGCCTCGGCATGCTTCCTCAGGGGCTGTCCCGGTCAGGTATCTGCTCTTTGAAGGGGTAAATCAATGTGGAGAAGGGATCTACTTAATCTAAAAAAAAAAGTTAGACCTCTATTTCTGAAAAGAAATACCACAGAATTAGTCCACTCCCTGGCCGACCTGACACCTGGGCTTGTTCCTGTCATCACCACAGCCTGGGTGAATGGGGCCTGATGCAGGAGAGGCCTGCGGACTTTACCAGCTCTCTTCTTCTTGGTCTCCAGCCTTCTTCTTTGCCTGAGGTTTCACCAATGACTCCACAGCTCGTTCCAGCAGGTTCTTGCAGAAGGCCTGGTGAACTTGGGCAATGGGGTCAGCTGAAGAAGAGAAAAACAAGAGTTAAAAAGATGGATCTTATTTGTGAGCCCCTTAGTGTTTTTTTTTTTGTTTTTTTTTTTGAGACAGGGTCTCACTATCTAGTTGAGACTGACCTGGAACTCAACTCACTATGTATGTATCCCACGCTGGTCTCAAACTCACAGTGATCCTCCTGCCTCAGCCTCCTGAGTGCTGGGACTACAGGTGTGTGCCACCACACCCAGCTTTTTTTTTTTTTTTTTA